CCTGGGATCATGACCTGAGCCGAAGGCAGACGCCTAAGGACTGAGCCACCCAGGCACCCCTAGAAAAGTATTTAAAATTCTAGGAAGGAAGGAAGGTATTTAAGGTAGAGAGTAAATCCAGCAGTAAGATAAGCAAGCTCAAAGATAGAGACAGAAATGTCTAGCATACAGAAAATGCCACCTTGGGTCAAGAAGTAGATTAATATTGGGGGAATAATGAGATTTTAGGTTGAAAAAGAGAAGATACCCTGGGAAGGGCCCTGAATGCCAAGGTATGGCATCCCAACTTTATTTGGTAAGCAACAGAGGCTACTGTAGATTTTTGAACAAGAAATGAGATGATATAATAAAAGCAATGCTTAAGAATTTCTTTGTGCTGGGGTGTCTGGGTGGCTCAGTCAGTGCGTGCTACTCTTGATTTAGAATCAGGTCACGATCTCAGGGTGTTAAGATCGAGCCCCGCATCAGGCCCCTGGGCATAGAGCCTGCTTGAGATTCTCTCTCTCCCTCTCCTCAGCCCTCTCACCTCGCTCTTAAAAAAAAAAAAAAAAAATTCTTTGTGCTAAGGAGGGAAGTTAACTAGGAGATTACAGTAATGTCTGGATACAAACTATCACAGGAACAAGAACAGAGAGGAAGAAAAGCATGCAGATGTAGCGCTCGCGCTCCCTTCAGCAGCACATATACTAAAATTGGAGTGATACAGAGATTAGCATGGCCCCTGTACAAGGATGACACGCAAATTCATGAAGCGTTCCATATAAAAATAAAAAAAGAATGTGGATGTAACATCACCAAGGAAAACTTTAGAAAGCAAGGTAAAAGGAAGCAAACAACAACTTTCTTCCCAAACAGAAACCAAAATAATCCTTGTGTCTCTGTTATTTCCCTACAAGCAGATAAAGAACAAGGATGGATGAGAAAGATGTGACTCTTGTCTGGAAGTGTATTATGAGCTAAAAGAATAAACCCAGCTCATGGGGCGCCTGGGTGGCTCAGTCCTTAGGCGTCTGCCTTCCGCTCAGGTCATAATCCCAGGGTCCTGGGATCGAGCCCCTCATCGGGCTCCCTGCTCAGCAGGAAACCTGCTTCTCCCTCTCTCACTC